AAATCCACGTTTCTAGTGACCCCTCTCCCTTTTTAATATTGAAGAATGGGGATCAGTTGGGATCCAACCAGTTTCAAGAGCTGGATTTTACTCAGACTTGAACTAAGTTGTGTAAAACTGGATGTGTAAGCTAAAGCGTCCCTCGTATCCATTTGCTGTAACGCGAGATGTACTGGAAACCCAGGAGCTGCTGCTAAGAGGGCATTGGGCACGGCCACGCCTGCCTAATGCGAACGCTGAAGCAGTAGCCCAGACCTCTTGAGAAAGTTGCCGTTTGTAGGCAGCACCACCTCAAAACAGACACCGTTAGCAGATGAAGCTACACATGGGTGTACAGGAGCCTCCTGTGTAAAGACATGTGCCTTACTGTTATTTAAGAGCATTTGTTAGTATGTAATGCAACGTACGGATTTCTAACAAATCTTAGTCCACGCCACTTGCTAACACTTTCTCTATTCGTTCAGGTCATTTCTGACAGCACAGCTGTTTTTGTAGCAGTAGCAGCAATGAGAACGAAAGTGTTTAAGTACATCAGCTGATTTAGTAGAACAGCTCCAAGTAAAATAAAACCGGTTTGTTCAAATGTGTCTGCAGTGCTGAATCACAAGCGCTTACGCAGCGCAGAAGACATGCCAAACCGAGTTGTACCTTAAACTCTGAGGATCTACTTCTCCACCAGTTCATTAGCCAGGCAAATTCGCGTCTAGACAAGCACCCCATCTCCCCGAGCCCCCACTTTTGTTTTCATTATTCATTACACAAGTTGCAAGATTCCCTAGTGAAACGGACAAACCCCAGCGTGTGTTTAAGTTCCAGAAGAATGAAAGTCAAAAAAAAAAAACCAAAACCCTTTTTCACGCATCTTACTGCGGTTTTATTCCTGTCAGAGTATTTACACAGGCCTGAGATGGAGAAAAACAGCCTTAGAAAACTGCAGAGGAGCTTCTGCTTTGGATTTGTCTTTGCCAAAACCCCGTTTGTCAGTAGAAGTATTCCCTTGGCAGTACTACCCCGAGGGCTAGGTGTCAAAAGATGATTTCCTGCAGTGGGAGGCCTGGACCCAGGAATGAGGCAGCCTCCTCAGCTATCTGCTCATGGTTTAAACAAGGGATAGAACAAAAAACACTTCTCTCCAGCTTTGCATTTCCCCCATCCTCTTGAGTTCAACCTGAAAACAATGCAGACGGGGTTTCACCCGCGTTAACCTGATGCTAGTTGCCATTCCCCCTACAGCAGCTGTAATGCTATATATACATTGACTGTAATGATCCAAGTCTCCCGT